CTCGAATGAGTTTCGTACGCGTTGGGCACTTATAGAAGTCTTTCCAAGGGCAGTGAAACCTGGTGAGGAAGACAGAAAAACCCGGGCTGTTTGATGACGGCAAACAAGTGAATAGGTAAGTCCAGTGAAACACATTCAGACATTCGAAAGATGACTAGTGAGAGAAACGCATTTGAAAAGTACAATGTTAACAAGAATCATTTGTGGACGGGAAAACAGAAAGCAAGATGCACGGTGAAAAAGATCTCCTTAAACAAGCAACGCCGTTCACAAAACTTGAGAACAGAATCCAGTGTCATCAACATTACATTTTGTAGGTGATGCGTGCTTGAACTAGGCGATCCAAGTAACACATTTGCCTGTATACCAGTAAAAAAAGGATACTCCCGCATTTCCCGTAGGTTGAGCCTGATATTGCATAAACAGGCACAGAACAGTGTCACACTTTGATTCCATGTTATGTCCCATAGTGTATCTCCAACCAAAGAAAATCTGCATCTTTAGGGCACCAGACTGGAAGCTGAGATGTCTCAGTGGAACACGCCAGTGTCATCCAAGATTTGCTGTCGAAGGTGATCAGCCGATCACTCTCTTGGGGATTTCATCAATGAAATAACCAATGGTTGTTTGGCACATTGAAGTCTTGTGTTAAATTTGTGAATAGTTCAGTAGCCTCAGTAGGATTCGAACCCACACATGGACGCTTTTGTACAGCGCACGATCTACCAGCTCAGGTAAGAGGCCACACCGATAGCACTGAAATTCTCGAACATCCGCAGAGAATGGTTACCAAGATGGTGAAATGTCTCCATTCCAAGACCTATGATGAAAGATTACAGCTATTTGGGCTATATTCGTCTCAATGTCGTCAAATCAGAGGTGATATGATCTTACTGTATCGGATTTTCCAACAGCCCGACCATCCATGTACAGGTATTGACCAAACTCGTGCAACATCCTGATTTTCATTACATTTGTTCCTCTCAATTCTTTATTCTTCCAGCCACATTCACGGGATTGTATATGATATTGCCGCACATGAGATGCAACATATCTGATATAATATTCACTTGTGTCACTGCTTCTATTGGCCACATGCTATTAAAATGTACAAAATCGCGATTTCAACGATTTTTGCAAATGCATCAGTTGTAAGATAACAAGGTCACAGTTGAAAACCTAGCTGTAATTCATTTATCAAAATGACTCATAGACTTTATACAGGTATTGCACTTTCATCTCGTCTATGTTCCATTTGCTCCTCTTCAATTTCGAGCACTGGAGGCAGTCTCTTTAGGATCGAATCCACCAAGTTAACTGCCAAACAGAATTTTCAAGTTTCATCTCATACACCGCACACCTTTACCACTGGCGACCAATGGCAAGGTAGCTGACTTATCCCTGTTTCTGATAGAGGGAAAAGTTTCCGATTAAATTAAAATCCTAGCTGCTGCGCGTTAATAAAACGAATTGAGATTGAAATCGACCCCTCTAGAAACTGTATAAATGTGAAAAAATACTATTTATTCAGGTCTAACCGTTTTCTACCACTAAGCTCAAGCGAGAAGATACACCACCCTTCATATGTGAGAAATATGACTTCCGTGAATGCATTTTTGGAGTGATGGTTATCAAAAATCTCCGATATCAGTGCAGAAAAATTTGCTATGTCCGAATCGGCGTACGCAGGAGACCAACAACAATGCGCTCAATAATCATACCCCTTCCAACTCGTTAGGCGGTGTAGATATTTAATTCTTTTGACAGGTAAAAAGAAATTCATTAGAAAACTGGCTCAGTAGATCAGCTTCAACAATATGCTGAATTACACGTTGGCCACCAGTGAGATAAATCCATTGCCAAATGGGTGGGCGACGTGATTTGAATTTGTTGGTCAAATCAATACACGCTATGCTTTGTTGGGCGTTCGATAACAGCTTTATATCACGTGGTCTCAGCTGCATTTCAAATTGAGCCATCACTTTCCAAACGAAATCGTGGGGAAAAATGGCTAATCAGCCCGGACTATCATCCAGATTG